AAAATCATATTAATAATTTTTGAAAATATTTAAATTGAGAACATATAATAGTTAATCTTTTTCTTCCCTCCCCCAAACTTAAATTTTTCAATATGGAATGATACAGGTGGAAAGAAAAATTTTAAATATAAATTATACCTCAGTACTTTAGTCATTTTCATCATTCTGAAATTTTTGCAGTTCCTTCTCAAAATTTTACTTCAACAGGTCTGTAATATTAGGAGTTTTCTATACATATAAATCATTAGAGAAGTTGTTTGGTAATAAAATTTTGAAATAAATACAAAACTAAACATTATACAAACACAATATTTCACTAACACATCACAATACTAAATAAAAACAATTTTAAATACATCATAATGCAAAAAAAAAAAAAAAAACACATCACATTACAATTTTGCAAAGTACTAATCAAAGTCTATTACAACTACAGATGCAATTTTTAAACTACAACACTAAACACTTATGCAAACATAAAATAAAATAGACAATCAAATGAAAGTACAAACAACATACATCTATCTCTATCAGAAAATCACAAAATAAAAGTACATCAATCACTATAATATATCAAAATCCCATACTATATCCTCATCTCCTTGGTCAGCACGTGGATTGGGCTGATACTGAGTATAACAGGGGCATTTAGGAAAAGTAACATCACACTCACCTCTGCAGTGTCAGGCCTGAGCTTCGTAGTAAGCTATCTCAAAGTCAGAATACCTCTGTAGATACACACTATCATGATCATGTCTACGTTCTAATCCCCCAATTCTTTCATTTATTTTCTTTATACTTTTCCGCTGCAAGGTTAACTCATTCATTAAATCGTGAAGGGTAGGGGATTAGAGGAAGGAATGTCATAACTAGTAGAGGGGATATCTCTACTAGTAGAAGGTTCTTTACTCCTACTCCCAGATCTCCATGCTTCATGGGATTCATACGTCTTTAAATTAGTTTTACTAATGAGTTTCATAGGGTAAACTCATTCTTCATCATCTCCAGCTTCAACTCCAGAAAGTTGGCAAAGTGCATAAATGAGGTCAGGATGTCCCAGACCTCCACTTGATTCACTCCTTGCCGTAGTCAAAATATTCTTATAAATAATTCTCCCCACATTTATAGTCCGATTATTCTGAATATAGAAATTCAGAATAGTTTTATCTCTTGTTACCTCACTATGGTGATAGGTTGGTAACAAAGTAGAGGAAATAAAATAGTGCCATGCTTTAGATGTGACATTTAACATGAAAACAGAAAAATTTACCCGCTCTCGCAGCTTTATCTTCCATGTCCCTTTCCCATCAATGAGAAAGTTAATGACATCGTTCAGCTGGCCTTCCATTGTACTGAAGGTTTCATAATTGCAAATATAGGAGTTTGGGACTTCATAAAATGAGTTAATGCGGACGACACTAAACTCAACAGAAAACCCTCTTACTCGAACGGTTTCGTCCTCAGAAGAGAACGCATTAACATATAATTCTTTCACAACATACACAGCAGCCTTGTTGGTGGTATAACAGAAATTTTCCCACCTCCGTTCAGTACTAACTCGTTCAACTTCTC